GCTCGAGCAGAACCTGAAGGCACAAGTAAGTTGCATGAGGAAGTGGCCCAAATGCCTATGGTCTCCACTCCAGTCACATTACCTTCCCTGTCCCACTCTGCACCTATGGCCTCTTGGGGAGTTCCTCATGATCAGTGGACTGAGGAAAAGAAAACTTGTGCCTGGTTTACAGATGGTTCTGCACGATATGCAGGCACCACTTGAAAGTGGACAGCAGCAGCACTGCAGCCCCTTTCTGGGACTTCCTTCAAGAACAGTGGTGAAGGGAAATCCTCCAAATGGGCAGAACTTCGGGCCGTGCATATGGCTGTTCACTTTGCATGGAACAAGAAATGGCAAGATGTGCAATTATATACGGATTCATGGGTTGTGGCTAATGGCTTAGCTGGATGGTTGGGGACTTGGAAGGAGCATGACTGGAAGATTGGTGATAAGGATGTATAGGGAAGAGGCATATGGATAGATCTCTCTGAATGGGCCAAAGGAGTAAAGATATTTGTTTCCCATGTGAATGCCCACCAAAAGGTGACTTCAGCAGAGGAGGACTTTAACAATCAGGTGGACAGGATGACACATTCAGTGGAAACCAGCTGTGCTTTTTCCCCAGCTACTCCTGTCATTGCTCAATGGGCTCACGAACAAAGTGGCCATGGTGGCAGGGATGGAGGTTATGCATGGGCACAGCAACATGGACTCCTGCTTACCAAGGCTGATTTGGCTACCGCCACCGCTGAGTGCTCAATCTGCCAACAGCAGAGACCAACCCTGAGTCCACAATATGGAATCATTCCTCGGGGTGATCAGCCAGCAACGTGGTGGCAGGTTGATTACACTGGACCACTTCCATTATGGAAAGGACAGCGTTTTGTTCTTACTGGAACAGATACTTATTCGGGATATGGATCTGCCTTCCCTGCACGCAAAGCTTCCATGGACTTACAGAATGCCTTATCCACTGTCATGGCATTCCACACAGCATTGCTTCGGATCTAGGGACTCATTTCACAGCACATGAAGTGCGGCAGAGGGCTTAT